CTTAGATATCATGTCCTTCAAAAACATTGCATACATCGGGATCTATTGAGTTGCATCGATGAATGGGATATTGATGTGGATCTTTTTCAGCATATCTAGGAATTTCTCGAATTGATCATCGAGCTTTCTCTTTTCCAATCTTCGTGGAAACGGTAGTGGTGGCACAAATTCTTTAGTAGGAATGGTTTCCTTAACCTTTGGATCATCTGACGCTTTTTCTGTCTTTGATTCTTTGTTCTGCTCAGATTTCTCCAATTGCTCTTCAACCGTGGAATGTACATTTTCTTTTGTAACAACGAGTCTCTTTATATTAACATCTGGTAGTTGAACTTCACTATGGGTAGTTGTTGCCTTGATTTGTTCTTCCTATTGAACTGCACGACATTCACTGCCATTACCTGTTGTTTGGGATTTATCTTAGTGTCACTAGGTAGTGCTCCTAGTGGTCTCTCTGAAAGTGCTTTCACTGTTTGTCCCATCTGATTTTGTAATTTTTTTATGACAGCTTCCTGAATTTGTAAGGTTTTATCTGTTCTTTATATGTATTGGGTAGATATCTCCGCTAATTTAGTATCAAGATCTTATAATGAAGATTTATTTTCAGTTTGATGAAAACCTGGTGGTGCAGTCTGTTGTTGTAACGACCCGACCTCACACCGGAGCCGTTATCATATTTTACATACTGTCCGCTTTGGGAGGGCTTAGACCCATCTTACCCCTCACGGATTTCTGACGCGTCGTCAGGATTCGAATCCAAGACCTCCATCATATAGGAGACTTAAGTTGAATCCTGATACCAATTGGACAACTTACCCAATTGGTATCAGGATTCAACTTAAGTCTCCCATATGATGGAGATCTTGGGTTCAAATCTTGAGGATTGCGTCAAAAAACCGTGAGGGGTAAGATGGGCATAGGCTCTCCCAAAACAGACAGTACGCAAGCTAACGGCTTGGGTATAGAGATCTGGGTCATTACACTAGCTCCATAGTTTTCACATGATAGACCACACATCACTGCATGTGCTCCTTTCGTTTGTGATTTCACCAATCACTCACCTGCTTTGTCAAAATTGCTATCTACGCATAGGTAGTTGTTGTGCTATCTAGTTCATGCATCCCAGATGCTAACGGTGGTACCACTCTTTTTGATGAAAACATTGAATAAAGAGTGGCAATTAACTCAAATAAATCTATGGTTTGTTGTCCTGATTTTCCTATGATCGATCCACCAGCTGAGGAAACCACCTGAATTTTGACAATGGTGAGAATTCGATGTAGAAGCATTTGATTACCTCTTGTGATTCCATGATTTGGACACTTTCGCATTAGCCTTTTAAATCTGTTCCATGCATCGTGATCGCTCTTTCCATCTTTCTGTCAAATAGTTTGAATTCTCAATCTGATTTTAACTACTTTCGCCGGTAGGAAGAATTTGTTGCAGAATTTTCTGGTCAGTTCTTCCCATATAGTAATGCTTCCATGAGATTTGGCGTCTAACCACTGCAATGCAATATCTTTCAGTATAAATGAAAATAATCTCAACTTAATAGCATTTTCATTAACCCCCGGAGTATGGAAGTTCTGACAATTTTTGATAAATATGGATATGTGTGTTCGGATTTTCATGAGATAGCCCGTAGAATTGGATAGCATTACTCATAAAATTGATCCACTCCACTTTTATCTAAAAATTATTTATCCTGAAATCTGGATACACAATATTGGAGCGCACAGGCACGGCTATGGCCGTTAATAACATTTAAATTTGCAAGTCTCCTTCATTTATTTCCCCATCGCTCTTGCTATTGATCTGGTGGCGTTGCTACTCTTATGGCCACTTGTCCAATTGGCTAAATAAGAATAGGAATATTTTGATGTTGTTGTTTTTGTTTGTGTTCATTGCGTCTTCGTCTAAAAGTACGTTCTAATTTTAAGTCAAACGGTTAAAGATCGTCGCCTTGGGTAAGGAGCATACAACGAAGACCTTTTTTTTGTAAATAAAAGAAAATAAACAAATCAACTTACAGTTAAGAATAAAATAAACTAAAACTAAAAGTAAATAGTCCCCGACAACGGTGCCAAAATATTGTTGTTTTTTTTTTTTTTTATATCGCAAATGTATGATATCGTAACAAGCAGTATAGTGTACCTTTAAGTCTGAATATCGTTTCCAACCTGCATTTCCAGAGTATTTACCCTCTTTTAGTTGCCCATATTTTAAAGTCACAAATTGTATTTATTGTTTCATTTTCTATAAGCTAGTGCTTCATTTTAAATGTACCAATACAAAAATAGGCAATCTACCCTCATCAAGATTTAAAAGAGAGCAATCAAAACCTCCCATAATCTCTCAACATAAGCATTTCTCATCGTATAAAATAAACAGGAAGAAAGAGAAATGGGAAATATAGATAGTGAGAGGTGAAGAATAAAATCAACATTAAAATCTAATGAACGAATCATTTTTCTGGTTGTATAGGTGGGAATGGATGCTTTGACCTTAATATTGAGTACACGAATATTTCTTTCAAGATAATAGAGCACAAACTATTATATTTCTCTTTAAGATAGGAAAAAGTGTTCTATGACACCGAAGACATTTTTTTCTTGTAATTTGCATAAGCTTTTCCCCCATAAAGTAATTTAACATTAATAAAAGAAATGCAATTTGACGAAAAATGGTGAAACTTACTTCACAACAGATTGGTTGACGTTCTCAACAAGGAGATCCTTTATGTTTCTATTGTACACCTCTAACATGCTAACATTCAGCTCAAACGTCATGATACTTCTCGTCTCATTATAAGCTTCAAGAAGCTCCTCCAAAGTCCTGTAGTTTACCCCTCTATTTTCTGGTGTTCCTTCCACAGTATATGTCTTACCAGTACCTGTTTGCCCATATGCTAATATGCACACATGGTAACCATCAAAGACAGGGGTCTTATGGGTATAGTTTGAATAAAAAATGATTTATTATAAAAACACAACAAGTGATAATCCAATTTATACAACACCATTAAAGGAGTCTCTATCAACCACATAAACATACTTCTATCAAGAATTCCTAGTCTGAAGTTAAGCTTTTTCTAAGCATGAAGGTAAACTATTTGTAGTTCATTTTCCTTAGACAAGTCAAAGTCAGCAATTGAGGTGGACCCATTTGCAATCTCATCTTGTTTTAGTGGTCTACACCTACAAAAGACTCTAATATTTTCTTTGAAGTCAATTACTTCATTGTAGAATCGATTTATTTCCGAGCATTCTCTCAGGGTGTTTCTTTTTTTAGCACTTCACACTCTTCATGATACTACTTTTTTTTTCAGTAGTTCATGTTATGTGCCAAACATTTTAAGCAGTACACAGCAAGTGAAATAATGTTCAAATCTCCTGTATGTTTGGGTAAGCTTAAAAAGCTCAATTAAAAGTATATCAATAAGTTTTAGAATAAATAACAATTTTATTCGTCAAAGTTGAAAAACAAAAGACTAAAGGCATGTTCTCTTCACCGTTTTCAAGTTATTTTCTATTTTCGATTTTTCAAAATAGTGAAAACGCGTTCTCTTTCCTATTTTCGAAAACGCGTTTTTAAAAACAAGTTAAAAATTTACAAAGAAAACTCAAAACGACAAATTTGGTGTTTTCAATCACCGCCACCCACCACCGAGAGAGAGAGACAGAGAGGGGAGGAGAACACAAAAAGTCAAAAAGAACACATTTTCAACAAGAGTTATGCTACAAGTACATCAAGGAATACATAAAGGTGTCCATAATGAACACCCTTATGTATCCCCTAATGTACACTTAGCATTTTCCTTTCAACAATCTCAAATGGATACTCCAAACACAAAATCCAAAATGAATTCAAAACTCAAAATATAAAACTGAAATATAAAGAGTCAGCCCCTAAGTAATCAAAATGTTGGGAGATAAAAAGTTACTTAAAGTTTACTTTTTTTTTTCTCCCTTAAGCCTAGCCAAGCTTGCTGGAAAAGAAGATAAGAGAATAAGTTGAATCTAGAAATTTTGATTCGGGACAATGGAGATACTTGAGCTCCAACATCACGGGTATCAAAAAGAGAACCAGAGGTGTGACCCACGAACAAACCAGGAATACGTAGCAATTTAGATTTATCCATGTGCTAGAAAAACTCAGTAGAACACACTCACTATTTATATACAATTTCAATAATTTGTCATAGTACACTGTATACTCTCAATGATGAATCGCCACTTTCAGAAACTAAAAGCCCCAAAGGATAACCCTGGCATCCAACAAATGTAAGGCACGATACAAATTGGCAATGGACAATGTTCACTAGTCAACGGCCATAAAGCAAGGAATATTTTGAACGTAATAGAGATGAATCACGCAATGGACAAGTCACAACAGAATGTCAATCTTCACCAATCAATGGTCATAAAGAGGGGAAAGGTTTAAATATAATATAGAAGGAAGAAAGAAGTAGAAAAATGAAAGAAGATAGAGTTATTATCCAAGGCATTGAGGTTAAGAGCTTGTTTGGGAGAGATTAAAATTGAAAAATTAGCCATTATTGTTGACTTTTATTAGACGAGTGAGACCCAATAACAGGTATATTTTCAATTTTAATTGGATTAAAATCCCTCCCAAACAAGCTCTAAAGTAGAATTAAATTCTGAAGACCAATCAAAAGTGAGGTAACTTATTGAGGTTACTGAGTATCCAAATATTTTTTTTCACACTCAATTTATAAGAANGAAAAACTAATTTGCAAACTAATTTTTTCACACTCAATTTATAAGAATTGCCACTTCAACTAATGATGCCAAAGATTGTGGAGTCTGGACATTGTATATATATGATTTTTGCCATGGCTACCACTAATTCATGGTAATCCACATATTAATGGATTACTTTCAATGCATCTCTACATGATTGATAAATAATGAATCAAATGCTTAGGGATTATGAAAATCACTTATTTTTATGACCAAGGTAAAAGCTCTATATGTCATGAGTTCCATTTATTGGATTCTTTGGAAATACAGTAACGTGTCAATAAAGACAGTAAGATAACCCCTCTACTAAATGGATAAAGTATACCATAAAATGGCCATTGATGTTCTCTTGCACGAATTTTAAAGTCTCAATCAACACTAACAACTATCCATCTGGTGAAAATTCCTGTAAGATGGTAATTTTATTCAAAGGACTAAACACGATGGTAGATGCAACAATAAAAAAAAAGCGAATTAAACTCAGAAATGCTAAATAGTTTCCATAAAATAGTGGCCCAAACAATGCCATTTAAATAAGAATGGTACACATACGGTAAAATAATAAACTAATCTTTCTCCACCAAAATATCCATAAAAAAGACTGGCTACAAAATAACAACAATAGGAATTTATACTACATATAAGTATGAAGAGCAACCTTGGTAATTGATCAAAACGTAAAGCTCTTACATAACAAAGATAAAAATAAAAGTATTAAATAATGTATAATACACCGTACTGATCTAGTATTTATGCTACACAAGAAAAGAATAAATCTTTAACTAAATAGCTAAAAAAACTGCAACAACAAAGCTGATCAGAAGAACCCTTGCTTTCTTGCACAAAATCCCTTCTTCCCAAAACCCTCCATCGCTTATGAATCTCTTGCGCAATTCAACATTCTTTGTTTTGTAGATTCGAACCAATGGTGAATTATTTGTGCGAAAAGATCTCATTGAAGGTCATCCAATAGCTTATTGCTGAGAGATCGACAGATGAACGCCGTGAGTTGTTCCTTTTACAGGAAAGGCAAATGAGAATAAAGGAAGAGTCAAAAGTTTCATTACTCACTCAACTTTACCTATTGTCATTTTATGGTCACTGAACTTTGAAATGCCAGTAAATGGCTATTGAACTCACTTGAAACCAGCTTCGTCCTCACTCTACTAGAAAACATTTGAAGGGGCTTTGAGGTGGCATAACAACATTCGTAGTGGCAACGGACGTCGTCATCTCTTGCCACGTGAAGAAGTGTCATCTGATGAAGCCTGATTTCATCTCACTGAAATGCAAAAAACACATTCAAACACGCAATTTTCATCCATTTCATATCAAAATCGGGGCTTCCTTTCATAGAACCCTAAATCGGAATTTTCCCAAATTGAAGGCACTGGAATGAACTCTGAATCGCATTCTCCATAAATCAATTACTTTCTAGTACCCATCCCCTGTTCATGCAGCCTTTCAATCCCCAAACATGCCCAAAATCCTAACCCCCAAATCCTGCAAATGAAATTCAAAAGTAGCCTCTGAAATGTACTCTGAAGTTAAATTTGCACGCGCGGAAGGAGCAAACAGAGGTAAATTCATTGATGTAATGTACTCTGAAGTGTTTTATTTCTCATAAACTGTCTGTTTCTGTTCATCAATGGCTGCTATGTATATTTGTAAGTCATGAAATCTACCTAAAAATGGGACCTTATGAATGTATGAATATGTGGGTGTTGCAAGACTGCATTTGTGTGCCGATTTTTTTGGTTAGCTACTAGATTGTAAGATTGCATGATTTTTTTGTACTGTTATGAATCTTAGCTTGAATTGCATTGGTGAATAGTTATTGGCAGTTATGAACTTATGTTTGATGAGTCAATGATATCGAATAGATTATTATTTATACACCATACGTAAATAATTGCACTTTTTTCATTTTGTTGACAGATTATGAGGAAGACCCTGATTTCGTTCATTCAGAGGTTGACATGGCTTCTAAGGAAGATGATTTGTTCTATGACTGCAATGTGATGACGGCATCGAAATTGGATCGGACATGAATGAAGCAAGAAACAAAGGAGCAGTGATGAGTGTAGGGGAGGTAGGAGTACCCATCATCTGAGGAATTATTATTGGCTTGTTCATCGGATGAAGATGCTGGTTATCGTTTCCCAGAATTTTTGGCTGAGACAGATATGAGGAATCCGCAGTTTGAAGTTGGACAACTCTTTTGGTCAATGGAAGAATTTCGGGCTGCAATGAGAAACTATGTTGCTCTCAATGGTTACAATGTGAATTGGAGGATATTGGCCTCGAAGTTGAGTAGGACGGAGATAGTGCAAGTGATATCTTACACGCCTGAACACACATACACATGGAGCCAACACAATAGACATTGTAACTATATCTTTTTGACAAATAGATACATTGAACAGTTCAAGGCAGACCCCGATTGGAAAACAAAGTCCATTTTAGCAATTGTGAAGGATGAATTGAAGACGAAGATAAGTATAAATGTGGCAAACAAGATGAGGCAATATGCTAAGGAATTGTTGTTTGGAACAATGGAAGAATAATTTGAATTTCTGAGGAGATATGCTGCGGAGATAGACGAATTCGGGATCAACAGTGATGATAGCCTTACATGAACAGGTTTTCAAAAAGATCTATATATGCTTCAGTTCCTACAACGCCGGGTTTAAAATTGGATGTAGGAAAGTAGTAGGTGTTGATAGATGCCATTTACAGGCTTATTTTGGAGAAATTATGTTAACAGTAGTATGACAGGATGCTAATAACTGTATATACCCCGTGGCATATGCTGTTGTCGAGAAAGAGAACACAGACACTTGGAGATGGTTCATGAAGTACCTCCAAGAGGACATTGAAAATGGCAATGAGAGGGGTTGGAAGGTTGGACATTGATGACTGATAGACAAAAGGGTCTTCAAAATGTATGCGATGAGTTATTCCCGGAGGCAGAATATCGCTTTTGTGTACGACATATGTATACAAACTTCTATAGCACTGATCATAAGAGTAAAATACCAAAGAATTTTCTTTGGCATGCCACCAAGTCAACAACTGTTCCTGAATTTAGACATAGAATGCAAAAAATTCATAAAGTAAGTGAAGATGCATATGGATGGGTGATGAAGAGACACCCTCAAAAGTGGAGTCAATCACACTTTCTAGTGCACTCCAAGTACGACATTCTGCTTAACAACATATGTGAAGTGTTCAATAAAGCATTGCTAGATGATATAGAGAAATTGATTCTAAATATGTTGACATCAGTGCAAATAACATTCATGAAATGGATACAGTAGAAACGAGAAAAAATGAGACGATATCAAGGTTGTTTACGTCCAAAGATTAAAAAAGGAATGCTCAAGATCGCTGAGATGTCAAGAGAATGCACGTTGTACTTGTCTAGGGGGCCCAAGGTGGCAGGTTGATTGTAGTTATGAGAAATTCGTAGTTGATCTCAAAGAACATACATGTGCATGTAGAAAATGGGAGCTTACAGGTATTTCGTGTGTGCATGTTGTGGCAGTGATACGGGACTGCAGAAATGAACCAGAGGTTGACAATTGTTACACGATCGAGACATAGATGAACTGCTACAATAACATCATGAACCCAATCGACAGCAAAATGTTGTGGCCTGATGTAAATGCCCCTAGAAACATCCAGCCTAAGTGGACTGTGCCGCAACGTGGAAAGAAATAGAAAAAGAGAAGGAAACGGGCTGAAGAAATGGTAGTACAAAGTCGGAAAAGTCATACATCAAGAAGATAGGGCAAGTGCGCATGACATGTTCAATATGTAGATTGAAGGGGCATAATAAAAGATATCACTCCAGCGATAATGCCCCAGTTCAAGTATGTATTTCTCTCTGTCAATGTAAGATAATTTCGTCATTTGCTAACCTATATACTTTCGCACAGGAATGGTTCAATGCTGAATTAGAACCAGTTGAGTCAAATACCAACGTACCAATAAACGAACATGTGAGTAAATATGAAATTATTTTCTTCTTTTTTGTGATAATTCACTCCATTTGTTATTTATTATAAAGATTAGATTTTGTTGTATTACAGGGTAAAATGGTGTCGTCAAGAGGTCAAGGATTGTCATCGACCTAAAATCCAAATGAAGAAGAGCCAATACGTTGAATTCCAACCCCCATTGTTGCTAGACAAACTCACATGAATAGTGGAAGA